AGTTATCTATTACCCATAGTAAAATCGTTTCTTAGAGACTAGAGAACGTTGTGTAAAAATGTGTCCGAAAAAATATATGCATTACTTCGACCTCGTTCTATGTCCAGACACTTTGCGTGTTAGACACTCGATACACACAAATGCCGAGAGCAAACGGCAAAATATATTCTTAATACTCTGATACCGAAGCGCCTCCATAAAGAGAGCGGGGATTAATCCCACACAATAGGGCTATCCTGGGCGTCAAATTTTACGGCTGCAAATCCCTTACGCAGGCTGGCTTTAGCGTTAATTACAGTTGATAGGCTTCCAGACCGGTTTGTCGGAAATAAATTTCCCGTTTATAATAGATAAAAAGTTATAGTGTTTTACTTTATATATCATTCAATTATTTTAATTGCTGTTCCACTATATAGTATCCGTTAGTTATCCCGCTGTCTGTCTGTCCCTATGTATGCTTAGATCTGTAAAACTACGAAACGGATCTTGATGCGTTTTTTTTTTTACTACATAGAGTGATTCAAGAGAAAGGTTTATATGTATAATGCATTGCACCCCCGCGAAGCCGGGGCGGGTCGCTAGTACCATGTTTCTTACTTTTTTATTTAATTTCTTTTGCATCTTTTGCTGCACCTACCATAAGCTCTTGCCACATCCTGGGTTGACAGGTAGAGAATGTCTTTGGGAATTAAGTCTTATCATTGTTACCCGTATTATTAAGGTTTGCAAAAAATATTGAATAATATTAAATTAATTACTTAAGAAGCCGTTTTATATACCTCATCATCCGGACCCTCACTTTTGATTCAATATACTCGAGCTACCTGAGTTCTACCCCGGTGCCGGCACCAATCAAATTTTAAATTTTTGTGCTGAATCTTCATTTTCTTTAATCACTTTCTGAGCGATGAAGGAAAATATCTAGATCTTAAGTAAACCTGCATATTTTCGACTTCAATTTCGTATGTGAAGTCCACCAATCCGCAGTTTGGTCGCATGGTGGACTAGTACTCTCTGTAAAAATCAGGCGTTTGCCCAGCAGTGGAACATTTATGGACTGTTACTTTACTTTTACAGAAACTCGCCAGTGTTCGAGTTATTAATCTGAATATTCAAGTAACACTATTTACACGTTACCGTTGACTTGTTTAATTACGTTTGGGATTTAAATCAAGTTATGTCCCTGAAATAATTATTACATTAATATTTTGTATTAACCGCGATTTAAATAATAAGTAATTAATAGTACCTTACTAGTTTCTACGCTTATGATTGTTTTGAATGCAAACGAAGCAGTCAATTTTATAATTTGTGTGATAATTACTCAGTCATTTCCCTTTGAGGAATTTACTTACCTTATTAATAGGAGTAAAAAAAATAAATGAGCATTAATTCACCCCCACTAAAATCTGGCTGCGACTGTGACTTTGGTAACGAGGATTTGGTGAGATAAGAGAATTAGAAAAGGGTCTTGCAATTCAATGCTTAAGCCTTGTTTGGTTTCTCGTATTAACGATGGCCTGGGACTTGTGTTTGGTTGAGATATGAACACAATTCTTAACTATTTTTCTTCTTTTATGGAATTGATATATTTTACAAGTATACTTATTATATACTTCCTTTGGTGCGGAGAGTACAGAGAGATACGTTTCAATCTTTAGAAAGTAATTTAGAGCGTGCCCGTTTCCTAGGAGTCTCATCTAAAGAATCGAGTTATTGGCTTCACGCTTTACCATCAAGTAACTTGGGCACATTACTTGACGATGAAAGCCTACGCATTGCTGTAGGAATCCGTCTGGGGGCACCGATTTGTCAACCACACCAATGCCCTTGTGGTGTCAGTGTAGACAAATTTGGTCTCCACGGGCTTTCTTGTCAAAAAAGTGCTGGCCGTTTTTCTCGCCACGGTTCCCTGAACGACATCATCCGTAGGGCTCTTGTTTCCATCAATGTTCCATCTATTTTAGAGCCCTGTGGCATTTTACGCGACGATGGTAAGAGACCCGACGGTTTAACATTGAACCCTTGGGAGAGAGGCAAAGCCCTTGTTTGGGACGCCACTTGTGTAGACACTTTGGCTGCCTCTCATCTAAGGGGTACTTCGGTCAGGGCCGGGGCGGCATCGGAGGCAGCTGAAGTAAGTAAATGGCGCAAATATGAGTCTTTATGTTCAGATTATGTATTTGTGCCATTTGCTGTAGAAACATTAGGTCCGTGGGGTCCCCGCACATCAAATTTTTTTAAAAGTTTATGTCCTAGGCTTAACGCCGCGGCTGGTGACAAGAGAGCTGGTTCTTTTCTCGCGCAAAGGTTGAGCATAACTATTCAGCGAGGAAATGCAGCTAGCGTTCTTGGCACCATGCCGCGTGGATTAGGTTTATTAGATAATATGTAATTTTAGATAGATTTAATCTTGTAAATATTAGATCAATAAAGATTGTCTTTTCTATAGAACTAATAACAATAAAAAAAATTAAAAAAAATTATATACTACTGGTATATTGTTACGGTAAACTAATACAAAAACACATTCAAAACCTTTGAAAGAGAAACTATTACATTTTAACCTAAACATAACCTTTACCTTATGTGTCAGGTGTCTATTAATCTATGTTTAATTTATACTTGGTTACCTTAAATATTAAAGGTAATCAGTTAAATTGCTAATTTCAAAGATTCTCAAGATTATTTTATTTAAGTCTGCTTAAAAAAGTTTATTCTAGTATGTTACAATGCAAGATGTTGGCGCTGGCAACACTGTTTACCGAATATGACGTTATCTACTCGAGCTAAGGGACAAATGGTCGTATAGAGCGGTCACTTGGATTTCGACTGCGTTCCCGGACGGTGATATAACCACTAGTGCTGCTTGTCGTTATAATAGTTGTTAATATTCAAGTTCAGTAATAGTTAAAATATTAGGATCAAGGTAAAAACGTTAGAACTCTTATAAAGATACGGTATATTTTTGTGTCATTCATACCCTTTCTAAATCCCTCTTTATAAACTATTCAACACAATATGGTTGAATAAAAGGTATTGAAATTAAGTATTGTATTAAATTGTTTTATAATTCCAAACGTTTCGAATACTGTATGCCGTTTATGGTTCATAAGTGCTGAGTAATAATCAAAATAGTTATACTTAATCATGTTCGCACAAATACAAGAAAACTTTACCTGTACACTATACTTTTTAAATAAAGTACGAGATCCGCGTATATATATATATATCCGCTTCGGGCTGATTTGTATATTGGCAGCGAGAAGTCTCTTCCAGACCGTCCATAGACTAATTTACACGTCCTTTACTGTTCGAGTTTATCTTATCTAGTTTATCCTACGGAGATTTGCGATTACAAAGCGCTGGACTCATCAGAAACTGGTTTACCCATGGTTTGGTACACAGCTTTCTTTCAGAACCCGGCCTATTTTTGACTGAACTAGAACACATTTATCCTGAACCACTAAGCAATGGCTACAACACTTCTCAAGAAGCACATTAATTTGCGGGATCACTTTAACTAGCATTTCGAGACCATTAAACAGCAAAAACAATACTTTAGAAATGTCAATTAAATGCGACAATTCAGTAAAAATCGTCGAAAACCTAAGTAAGCCATCGAAATTTCACGTCATAAAATAAAGTTAAAACTATTTTTTTTTTTAATCAGCAATATATATAACAAGTTTTGGCAAATATAAAAACGAAGCATTTGACCAACAATCAGTACCATTCGTGCAGCTAATAATAGTGTACCACAAAAATTTTATTCATCTTTCTAAAAAGAGGTATAGCGTATCATAGATTTAATAAAAATGTATTTATTTTAGTGCAATGATGTTTGCACATGACGCCTATAGATAAAATGTCGTTCATTATAATAATCTTACAATAGGAAAGCCTAAATTACATCTAATACGGCATGGAGTAGTGACATTGCAATATGTTGCCTGATACAAATCGCATTAGTGTTGTGACAATTTGATTTAATCCCCTAATGGACGGGATCTCTAATACTGCAGGGTCAAGTTATGCTGGTTTTGGCATTACTGTCTCGTTTTCGACAATGAGATATTATAGACGGTTAGGTGCAATTACTATGTTATCAACTATCGATCGCAAGTTCGATTCCCACGCGGGATGAGTGTTCCTTTAACATCATATAATTGTTCAGGGTCAGGTTATCTGTGTGTATTCGTGCCTGTAAAACACGCCTACTACTAAGTATAATATATCAGAAACTGTAGCTATTACCGTAGCAGGGTTACGCAGTAAACTTATGCTTGATTAACGATAGTTGAAACGACCAGTCTATTTATTCTTTTTGCATTTCGTCTCCTCAATACAGAAACTTGAAGACTGTTAAGTTTAGTGAAGGGTTTGTGAATCCACTTTTTTAATAGATTTTTATATATTTAATAAAATGTTAAAAACTACAAAATATAGTTCAAGGCAAATCTTTTTAACGCCCGCTAAGACCTCTGATCAACAGTAATTTTTTTACGCAGATTATTTTATATTTATTTAACTTAAAACTTTTTAATATTTATTAAACTTATTTATTTTCACTTAATTATCTCTTCTTTACTTGTGAAGCGACCGTCGATGGCAAGCGATTATCACTTGGCAGCAGGTTAATCGCTTTATCTATTGACTTTTTTCTTCTACAAGATATATAAAGAAAAACATCATATCGATTTTTATTTGACGAGCGGAATGGCGTAATGTTTAGTGTACCTGCCTCATCCGCCAGAGGGTGTAGGTTCGATCCCCACTACTTGTGTGATGAACATAGTGTTTTTCTAGTGTCTGGGTGTTATATATGTATAATATGTATTTATTTACAAAAGAAAAGTATATTTAAGTATGTTTATAAATTATCTACTACCCATAGTACAAGCGTTGCTTAGTTTGGGGCTGTTGTGTAAAAATAAAACGTTGTGTAAAAATGTGTCCTAAATATTTTTAAATAAAAATAAATATTTCATCTTCGACAGGCAATGGCTACATCGAGGGCACGGAGCTGGATGGCTTCCTGAAGGAGTTCGTGTCAAGCGCAAACTTCATCGATGTCAGTCCAGACGTGAGTCAATAGAACACTAACTTACTGTTTTTTACACTAAAAAAAAAGTTGTTGACATTAAAAAAAAGATAACAAGACTATTGTAGCCAGTGATGTTATCAAATAATAGTTACTTATCTATCTGTTCAAATATCCAAGTCAATCAGAAGACAATGCTCATAAGCAAAGTATTAAAGTTAAACAGGGACCTGAATGATTTTTCAAATTACGATTGTATTTTGAAACTACCGAAAAATCATCTTAGGTAGAAGGTACTTTATTAATAGAAACGAGAATTAATGAATGACATTTTTTATTTTGTCGTGACAAACGTTGTCAATTCAACATTTTTATAAGCAAGTACGTCTATAAGGTCGTCTGAATTCGTTTAACTCAAATGTGATAAAAATGGAATAATGAAATCAAACGCACGAATTGTTTCATCTTATTAATTTACTTTATTTTTCATAAAGTAAGATCTTTATCAGCCATGCCGTAATAACGAGAAGTTATCAGGTATATCCATTATACTTCTTTGAATTCTCCTTTCTATAAGTTTCTTTACATGGAAGTCATAATGCCAACACGTTGAAAAAACATATCATATAAAGTAACCCATTCACTTGGATGCAACACATAATAAAAAAAAAATCATTGTGCCGAGCAAATACATATCACAATCAACAATAGAGTAAGTAACCCTATGAGAGTTCTGAAAAGCTTGTAGTTTGTACTTAATACGAAATCCTTATTAATATTATAAAGCCGAAAGTTTGTATGTATGGATGGATGTTTGTTACTCTTTCGCACAAAAACTACTCAATAGATTTTAATGAAACCGTACAACAATATAGTTTATAGATCAGAATAACACATAGGCTATAATTTATAAAGATATTGTGTGAATTGTCCAGAATATAGGTAATGATAAGTGTCAACTAAGTAGGTTAAAACTCAGCCATCTGCAAGATATTCCGGAGTATAATAAAAAACTCATTGTTAAGTGCCTTGGCCGCGCGGGTGAAGCCGCGGATAAAAGCTAGTTATATTACATTTTTAATTGTCATTAACACATTTCTTGTTTATTCGCACCATGGAGCTGGCACAGTGTTCCACGTTAAAGAGTGCAAGCGGCTCCAATATGACGTCGTTGTGCACCGAAGCATCTGGTTGTCTTCTTAGGTCCTTATAAAAACCCAAAAAGTCCAAACCCCTCACTGGCTCTTCACTTTTAACGGGAACAACGCAAGCAATGCACAGAAATATCAAATGAAGACTGCGCATTTTCGCCCTTAGCGTGACATTATCTGCAGGATTCGATTTAAAACGTTTCTAAACACTGATTAGTTTACTCCTGCGTGTAATATTGTTCAGCCGTGTAAACATTCTGCAATCGATATTACATTTAGTGGCCTATGTCCAAACTCGTCAATTGACATTAATAAATCACTCACAGCTTATTCAAGTCCAAAACTCTCACAACTAATTCACGAATCACAAACCTTTGGCTTGACTTTCAACGAAGAAACATTTAAAAAACACAAAGTAAAAGTTTATTATCACTTAATGACAGAATTGATTAACCACTTGTTAACGATACGATTTAAGCGATTAAAAATCTATTAAGTGAGAATGTTGAGTCAACTAATCTAATCTTTAATGAAAAATAATAATGATAAAATATCCATTTGTTATGCAATGGATAAACAATGACATACATACATATACAAGATAAAACACAGAGTACTGAGTATAATGAATGAGAGTAATGTAAAATAAGAATGTTTTTCAATTTCCAACCTATAATATTCTTGCACGTCTAGTTCATCAATTTCTTCTAAATTATTTAGTAATATGAATTAGTATGAAAATAATTTATGTGTGGTTTAATCGTGGAAAAAAGACCGTTACGCCTTTATGTGACAGACTTAAGTGTTTCATTAATAAATACCATTTTAAAAGTCATTTAAACATTTTCACAATTCTTAAGCTCGTATTCAGATCAATATCGTCAACACTTGTCGTATTAATAACAAAACAATTACTGTGAAACACTATATCGTTCGCGTCGCTTGTAATCCGTTTCACAATTCTCAGTGCATTCAGGCATCGTCCCTGCTAACACTGCAACGCTATAACGCGATCGGCACACACTTCTTGTTCACCTTTGCCATGCCAGTGGCGCAGACGCCAGCTTCGAAAGCGGGCAGCATCAACACTTTGGTCGTCGCTTCGAAGTAAGCCTCAGTGACGGCGCCGCTGGTCTCCAAACCATCACAACCTTCACGTGAGACCGCTAACTCGCCTTCCAAAACACGAGTCGGGTTGCCACCAGCGTCTACCAGCAAAAGCAGTAGAACACACAACGCCTTGACGTACTGCATCGTAACAACCACGCGCTCTCGAGCTGTTCCAAGCAATTCCCCGATGCACAAAACGTTAATTGGCAACGTCGTTAAACACAGTATAATTGTTATTACGGAAACGCCAGTTTCTTGATGTCTCGCACTAGTTTCTAATGTCCTCGCCCATTATAACTGGACATTATAATGCTAAGGTAATACTTAAGACATTACATATAGGTACGATTTACCGCAGGAGCGCTGTCGTAAATTTTATGACTGTGTAAACTACTCATTACAACCTCTTATTCTGTTGTATGCTAATATACTTCTCATAAATTACTACTCATAAATAAATTACTCATAATATTTCGTTACTAGTTCGTTGTTTTAATTCAGTCAACACATACTTGCAAGATAGTGATGCAATTAGCAGTAAGAGCTTTCATTTGTGATTGTTTTGTTATTATTAGCACCGCTCTGCACACAAGATTATTTTCTTTTATGTTTATGTGAGACCGCTCTGCCACCACACAAGATTACATATATCAGGTTCTACATTTTTTAGTAAATGAAAATGCATTTATGTGATTGGACGGTGGCATTTTTGCTCACTTATTTTAGTTCAAAAAGTGTTTTTTTACGAAAATACCATTTTATTTATCTCTACTTAGCTATTATAACTCCGTGTTAAAATTATGTGATAACCTTTACCCCGCCATATATAAAATTATAACAGATTCATCTGGATAGAGTTATTAATATTACACTAGTTTAATTATTTATTCGGTTTATGTTTTTTAAAGAGGAACGTTCTTTACAACTAAAAGATTATTTGCGCTGTAATCTTTAACTTTCCTTCCATCTACCGCTGGGAAATCATCGAGCTCTTAGTTAAGATACTGAAAAATATGAATACGGCTTGATTTCTGCCGTTGTCATTATAAATATGAAATGCAAAGCCCGACAAACGGTAAAGTGGATTTATTGAGTTGTACTTCTTTCATGCAACAGCGCGTCCCATTTTGCATAGACATTGTTAGGAAGAGAATGTTCTGGGTGCTAGGTCAGATACCAGTATTAACTTCTCAGCGCAGGAGTCGTTAAGAATATTTTAGTATTTGGATGGATTATTATTTAACCTTACCAGTCTCCATTCAGTTTAGAATACAAATTATATCAGATAAAATAGAAACTACTTCTATGGACAAACATCCGTTTATTAGCACATTATTCAATGTCACTAGCAATTCACAAGTCAAGGCTAGAATTATGAAATTTGAAAAATCGAAAATTTGCTGTGGTATCAAAGCACAGGAAGATCCGTTAATAAGTTAAAAAATAACGCAAATCTTCTAAAAAAAAAAACATTGGATACCAGACAAAGTATTTGTCAATGTTTATTTGTATAACTTCAAATTCTTATAACTTAACGTCCCCATATGTCGATCACGTAATAATACCCGTAGCCTCTGGCGGATTGGATTCTGATTGTGGCGTTGTTCCCTCCTATACCACCGGACAGTAGCCAAGGCGTAGCGTACTGAGTGTAGCCAATCTCAACGACCTGGATCGCTGATATCCTGGTGGTCACGTTGCCGCGATACGCAACATCCTGGCTCTGTATTGTGTTCGGTATGGGCAGCTTTTGGACGTATGTTCTGAAAGTTTTGAAAGCAAAAACATGCCGATTTGCTGTTGGTTAAACCTAGATGGACAATTCTATCAACACGCTTTCGTATTTTAATATTACTGGGGATTTTGTTTTTGATAATTCATCTTCGCAATAAACCCGTTAGGAATGTACATCAAAATATGTAGAAAAAGTGCGAAAAGATTGTCGCCGCTGTGGGAATCGAACCCACGTCTTCGGCATTCGCGGCCTGACGCTCTAGCCACTGAGCTAAAGGCTGATTGCCACACTGACGAAAATCTTAACACATTCTTCCACATTGTTTTCTTAGCATTTGAAGTATATATTTATACTCTTCAAGTCAAAGTAAAATAATCTTCATTCAATATAGGCTTAACTTAAGCTCTTATTGAACGTCAAAAAAAATCTACCGCCGGTTCACTAAACAACACCTGAATAGAGAAGAACCGGCAAGAAACTCTGCGGTCTTGTTCTTTTTGTTATTTTTTTTTTTTTTGAGTAGGCCCTTGCCATTAAGGTAGCTTTTACAAATTGTTTGAAATTGTTTATACTTAGTTGTTTGTGGATGTCACCTATTTTATTATAAAAGTCGATGCATCTTCCAAGAAACGAATTTCTGGGTTTAGCCAATCTAAACCTCGGTACTTCCAGAATGTCACCACGGCCCCGACGCGATGCGGAATGTTTTTTTCGTAAATAGGTGGATAATATTACGAACATACATGATGTTCTCAAGTATGTAAAGTACGACGGGAACGTTAAAACGTTTATTTGCTTAAATAAATGCCGTACTGACTCACGTGGACCCAAGCCAGTTTGTTTAAGTAGAGTTCAAAAGTAAGTTATTGCTAGTAAACCAGCCTGTCACAACATCTAGTATTTCATTTGGTTGTTCTAGTACATCACCTTTCCTTTTAACTATAAACAATAGTGAAGTGTCATCCGCAAACAAAACAATTTGAGACCTTTTTTCCACTATATATGGCAAATCATTAATATAAACTAAAACAGAAAAGGGCCCAGGATCGATCCTTGAGGAACGCCCATTTTTACTTCTGACCCAATTGACAATATACCATACTTGAAGAGCCTATCATGTCCTTTAACCGAAGAGTAATATTCTAGCCAGTGGCGTGACCACTGGTTAATGATGAAAACAATAAATTCACTCTTTGAAAAACAATCTATTAATACCTATTTAGTAGTCGATCACCAGTATGTACATAGCCGTAGTATACACTGGATCTGGCTGCAGGCGACTTGACAATTGACCCAGTTAAGCCAGTTGTCACAACGGCCAGCACCGCGCACAACAGGAGCAACTTCATCTGTAAAGTTAAAATTAACTCCCGTTATTCATATTCCATTCGTTCAAAATAGGCGTAACAACGTATCCCGACTCATTTGAAAATTTTGTAGGTATATTATTTAGTTTATGATATTAAAATACAAATCTTCAACTTTTAGCATTTTCATTACGAAACAAAAACACCATGAAACACCATGTTTTTGAACGAATAATTTTGGCAAAAATTAAAGTATTGTAACGAGAAAAAGTGTAAGAATGTCTAATCAATCACCATGTTTTCGAAGGAATAATTTTGGCAAAAGGTTAAACTATTGCAACAATACAATTTGTAACAATCAAAGTCTTCTTGAAGAAATCATCTTAAACAGTATATATAAATGTTTCAATCGCGTCTTTAACAAATTTACTTACCTTTCTTTTGTACAATATTTGGTATCACCTAGTTTAACTCAGCCCACAATCTCGAGTGTGACATCTCCACACGGAATTTATACTGACTGCATAGATAAGCTGATAAAGGCATGGAGTGTAACAATGATTCACAAAGAGACAAGTCAACAGCTAATCTTATTCATGGAAACGCTACCTATAATAACATCTGTACTATGTATTTACTAGCAATATTATGACTTTGTCCGTCTGTTTTCCGCAACAATTTCGCATCTAATTTATTTCCTAATTGTTCTTCTCATGCTGTGTGTGTTACAGTTAATTTGCAATTATTTTGCAATGACAATTTTCCACATTATAATACTAACTTGGAACATCCATTTGACTACCTTTTCATTTATTATTATTGATCTTTACCTAGGTTTCAACTAGAACTTAGATTTACACAAAGTTTGATCGAATAAACAAAAGTTCTCATGAAAACAACTAGAGCGAGCGTTGTTGATATACGGAAGGGTAAGTAATAAATTATTAATCATTGAACGGTTATTGACTACTCAATAAAATAAATGAGTCATTATTGTATTTTCCTTGTTATCGCGTGTTAAAGGGTTTTTGATCGACTATAGATTGAAAAAAAAATATGTGGATTAATATTAAGATAGATAAATTAAATTAAATTAAATGTATTAAAATAAATGGCCCATATATAGGGCCCAATACTTACTGTAGTTATTTTATTGATGACAACGTTGAAACACATAATCTCAAAGTCACAAATGATTCTGAAATGCTTTTGTCGGATAGTTCTCCGACTAAAGCATTCCGAGATATATTAATTACTCGTGATGTCATTTAATTTATTTTATAATAAACTCACTAGTCCACTTTATGGTAGTTCATTGAAAGGTCTTTTTATATTTAGAGGTTCAATTTACAGCTTAAAAGGAGTATTTCGCTATAACAACAGTTATGTTAATTTAAGACGCATAATTAATGGATTATTGTTCCTTCTTCACGCTGGAAAGGCTAAACGAATTTGATTTAAAACGACGTTAAAACCAAAATAAACATTGTCCATTAAAAATTGTTCTGTTTAACACTGTATATGATAATACTGTAATAACTATGAACATCTAAATAAAGGATCAATATAAAAGATTCCTATCGCATGGAAACCATTTAATTTCGATAAAAACCTTTTATTCCGAGCGCTCTGCTAAAAGTTACCACAAGTAATTCAGTAATAATCCAATCAAAAGATTTGATCCATACGCGAATGTGTCGTTATTAATCCAGAACGTTCTACCGGAGTTCCCCTTTGTTGATGGGGAGAAACACTTATTGCTCGCTTAATACCCCAAATGTAACAAGCAATAAAATTCGATGATAATGAAGAGATGATGTCTTTAGAATTAGACATTATTTTAGACACACGCAATACGTATAAATACAATGCGATAATCAGAATAGGACTGACCTCACGCTATCCTGTGACATCATAACTGTCAAACTAGTTAGGCTGATTTATGTTATAACTTAGGCTGCTATTTAAAAGAAAAATAGGCGTTTTATTACCTGTGTGCTTATAATGAAACTATTGTTATCGTCGTCTTGAAATATTTCTCTTTGCTAAAAAAAACTAATTACAACTTCAAAAGATTTAGTAATACTTTTTATAAATATGTTATAAAAAAGTTTTAAATGTCAAAAGTGGAAAATTAATTTTCTTTGCAAGCCGTAATTTTCAAATGGGAGTCGACTAATAGCGGTCAATGGAGATCAAAGGCGATCTCATTCTTATTTGAAACGCATTAAACATTGATAAACGGATTCCGGGACCGTGACGTTAATATCCTATGTAGTTCATGGCTTTTTTTGTTTATGAGGGATGGCAAAAGCTCTTCTGATGATAATTGCGTGCCGCTTCCCACGGACACTAACAATATCAGAGTTACTGGCGTGAGAGCACTGAGAGTGTGGTCATCCGGTGATTCTCTAGTTCACGCCCGCACTTCTGTAGTCTACTTCTGTAGTATCTTCACCGCAGTACTTCCTCGGTAGAGCTGGTCTGTTAGTAACGCAGGAGCTGTTATATAAATTGGTGTATTTCTACCACCTTATGTGATGCATAACCTTTATCAAACACTTACCTGCCACCGAAAATGGTAAACAGAACGAGAGACTGGAAGATTTTGAATCTCCGCGATATAAGCTGCAATGATATATTACAGACCTACTCGTACTTAAGAAAACATGTATTTTAAATGATTCGTTAAAATTTTAAATCTATGTTATATCGTGCATAGCTTATTTTATGCTGATATTAAGAATAGAAAATACAAAGAGTTCTACTTAGGCTATAGATTAATTTATGTTTTTTCCTGCGACATGAAGCACGTCACTACTACAACTGTTATACAAATTATGTATCATACATATGACGTTCAACAACTCATTTTAAAATTTGTACCTGTCTGTTATGTGAGATATATTTAAAAGTTATGGTTGTTTTAAACTGTGGTAGGGCCACGCAACAGCGTGTGCTGTTGCACGAATGGGCAGGCTCGTCCGGGGAATTACAACGGCCACAGAAGAACGGCGTGAAGTGGAAGTATTAAACTTTTTTGCGTATTAAACTTGTGAGCTAGGTAAATGAGGCCCATATTTATAAAGGTTGTCAAAACCATCGGATGTATAGATATCTATAAGTGGCGGTATTCATTTAACATCAGGTGAACCCCGTGCCTCGCTTGCCAACTTTTCACATTGAAAAAAAAACGTTAAATATTTCAGGAGTCGTCGCACTTAACTCACCAGTCGAGGCGACTTGTAAAACTTCGGACGTCCCTAATGGAAATTTTATAGGTGAAAACTTCGCAGAAACGGCGGCGCGCTTTATCCAGTTTCAGCACGGAGCACTGAAACTGGATAAAGTTGTACCCAGTCGCGCCATTTCGGGCGGTGTCTGAAGTTCGTGCATTTCAATAACATTTCAATGAGACGGCGGTACCTATCAAGCTATTATAACATTTTTTTTGCGGCGAAATTTATTGTCATATTCGAATGATAGTTTTCATTCCCTGAAAACAGGGATAAAAGGACATTTTCTCGAAATGAAACCTAGCTAGATCGATTTTTTGCCCCTGAATCTACGCACATACTAAATTTCATGAAAATCACTGGAGTCATATCCGAGATATATATATATATATACAATAATTGCTCGTTTAAAGGATAAGATAACGTTAATTCATCAACCGCGTGCGTTCGGAAATCTCACGTGCGATAATCATTTTAATGTTTATAGTGCACAGCGACTATTTTTGCACGAAAAGTATGGACCTATCTGGAAAATCCACCCACATTATCGTCTCTTATTAATTTGAAACGCTTTCATAACTTTACAGATTCCATGGTCGTAGACCAGTCCGTCTATATAAAAGCAATTATTTGGTTTGCTATGTGTATTAATCGCATAACCTCATTTTTAAAAGGTTTCTTAATTTTTGTGTATACCTATTGAAGCAAGCCATTAACAAATGCAAGGTGGGATGCACCTAAGTGAGGTCGGTACATGTGAATCGTGATGTAAGCGGTTTTAGCTATGTTTTTTACAACTGGGCCACTTGCTTGACGTCAACTCTCTTACTATCTGTGGGTAACACAAATACTTGTCCTGTGGCTCACACAAATACGTGTGGGAATCGAACCCACGACCCTCGACGCCGAAACCAACAGCTTAGCAAGATCGCTACTGAGTAATTGACAAATAAAATACCTCAATAGTTTATAAAACACTCGGATAATAATTTTGTCGATGGTGTAATCTTCCAATAAAAAATACACAGTATTCAGCAACGTTCTAACTAGCTTTCAACTTGATAAATTTGCTACTTCCATACCTTTTTATTAACTTAAAAACTATCTCTACTGGTTTACAAGATAAAAAATTTACTATGAACACAGTACACACTGATTCGATTCGACCTTGGGCAATTAAATCAATGTTACACTCAATTCCTTTTATCGACTCGCTAATACGTTGTTTGCGTCCTAACTGCGAGCTGAACACGAAAACAGCTGTAAGAAACGATCGCACTTAAACTTATTTATTGCGGTACGAACGCGGGAATCCCGCAGTCAAGTTTCTGTTGGTAATAACGCCATTAGTGCAGACAGACGTAACGTAATTCACCAGTAAACAAGAACGGGAAGAAATTTAATAGAAATGTTGTTTTGAACAAAGTCAAGTTGTTATAGGAATAGTAAGAATAAGTTTACGGATTTTATCACTTTTAACTAATTTCAATTTACAGTACCGGCGATGCGAACCTTAGTTTATGGCGTCCATGGCCAATGAACTTATTGACGGTGTCCGACGTCGTTATACCTAAGTAAGGATGGGTCAAATATATCATTCAAAAATATGCATAATCGCCTAATTACGAAAGAATTGAGTTATTTATGCGAAGATTTTAATTCAGTTCTTGTGCTGAGCTGTCGTTATCAATGTGAAAGTGTCTTATAGTACTCATGCGAGACTAGTTGGCGGTAAACGTCAACCTCAATCTTCTCAATTGAAATTAAGATGTTTTTTTTTATTTCAATAGCCTCGTGAATCATCCT